TCCTTTTGAAATGTCAAAAGGAAAGACTTTTTTGTCCTCCCCTTTATTTAAGGAGTGATAATTTTGTTCATATGATGTAAAATTCTTCCTAATTCTTTTATGGTAAAATTTAATTTTTTTTCAGTTTTAATTAATTATATAATATTTATAAATTACTTATTTAATCTATGTAATTTTCTTTTATTTTATTTGTTTAATTTGGTTTAATAAAATAATCTTTATACATTCTTTATGATAGACGACATTCGTTAATTTGAATTAAATAATATTTATTTTTAATTTTAAAAGATTAGGAGTCTAATTTGAAAATTTTATAATAAATTTTTTCTATTTTTGCTTGCAATTCCTTTTTTAATAATCTGTATATTTAGTTTTGTTTCTTTAACATATATATAATATAGTCTTGACTTTCATCAAGTGAAGTAATATGTGAAAATGAATAAATATAAAGTGGATGTAACATTGAAGTGAAATGGCGTGTAAAAAATGGTGAAATGGCGTGTAAAAAATGGTGAAATGGCGTGTGAAAAAAATTTTACAGTGTGATTGAATAGAATAATTTACTATTGTCAAACCAGTTTCATGTGAAAACCTGTGTGACAAAAATAAACAATAAACTTCACATTCTACAAGGAGGGATAAGGAGGGTAAAAAAATATTAACCTAGAATTTTTTAAGTAAAAATATTTAGATATAATTAAATATTAATAAAAAGATTACACTATCTAAAATGTAAAAAGTTACTTATAAGTAAAAAATCACTTCAAATATTTAGAAGTAATAAAAAAAATTATATTTGTAAAAGTTACTTATTTATAGATAAAAAAATATTAATTTTAACATTTTTAAGTATATATTTAGATATATTTATTTTTTAAAATTAAATATTTATTAATAAAAAATAACTATATAGATAAATTTAAAAAAAAATTATCACAATTCCATGCATGGAGTGGTTACAGAAGGAGAGTTCTCTCTTTTAAAAAGTCAAAAGTTTCTCTCCTTTTCACTTTTCAAAAAGAGAGATTCTCTCATTTCACAGAGAGATTTTTGTTTTTTTTATTTAATGTTTTCAATTTTAATCATAATATTATTTTATTTGTTTAATCTTTATACATTCTTTATGATAGAACGACATTCGTTAAATTTGAATTAAATACTATTTATTTTTTCCTTAAATCATTTTAATTTTATTTGAAGACTTTATAAAAAAATTTCTATTTTTGTCTGCAAATTTTTTTTAATAATCTTTATATTTAATTTCGTTTCTTTATTATATAAGATATAGTATTCCCTTTAATCAAGTGAAGTAGTGTGTGAAAATAGAGAAATATTGTAGTGGAAGTGACGTCGCAGTGAAACGACATGTGAAAATGGTGAAATAGCATGTGAAAAGAATGCTAATCTATATGACAAAATTGAACAGTAAATCTCACATTCTCTCTTTTTACATAAGGAGTGATTTAACTATTAATATAAATTTCCATAAATTGAACGTACCTCTAACACGACTATTAAAAACAACATATTGGACATTGCCACATTGGAATTCGAGCATCTATGTGTAAATCCTGGTGTGAGTTCCATTTTTTGAAAAAAATGTATTTTTCAAAAAAAATGTATTTTTCAACCGTGTTTTAACATCATTTCAACCACTCATTTTTCAATAAAATAATATTACATGCAAATTCAAAATTTTTTATTTTTTATTTTTTAACCACACATTTCTTATCAATACACTACTTAAAAATTCATTATTTCCCTCCAAAATGAGGCTCAAACAAGATAAATATATTTTGTAGTAACTACAAGAAGCAGGAAAAATTAACTAAACTATGACTTGTGAGCTTGTAGGAAAAATAAAAGGTGTCTTCGATTATAAGGTATATTAAATGTTCTTGAAAAGTATTAAAGAAAAAGTTAAAATCTTCTCTATTCATATGTCACCTGGACGCTTGATTTAGTTGGAATGCGGAAGTGGAATTATCTAGTCGTCTAAACGTTCACGTGTGTGTTATAACAAGGATTCGAATTTTTACCTAAATTTGATGATCAATTCTTAAATTAACTCTGAATCACGAACTTTCAGTTTTTTAGATCACAAACTTCCAACTTTTTAATTCTAAGAACTCGATGTTTTAAACATCCAAATCTTTTGTGGTATTCTACAAAGTCAATATTATAGCAGTGAGTATGCACCATCTTTTAATTAAATCAAGAAATTAATTTTTGATCTGGACTATTGAAAAAAGGCAAGAGAAATAAAATTTCTCCATTTTCCTCTATCTAAATTTGAACACTATGGAATTATATAATATGATTGTTGTAGGATTTTTTTTTTTTTTTTTATCCTTCTAGTCTCTATTTATAGAGATAAAGATATTACAATCCATGTACAATAATAATTTCACATACAAATAAGAATTTTAATTAAAATTCAAGTATGAGTTTTATTAAAGTCTTTCAGTTAGTTTACATTTAATTATATGTATAGTCCTAGAATTTTAATTACAATTAGAATTAAGTTTATAACTTTCATAGCAATTACAACTAAATACAAAACTTTATTGTAATTACAAGTAAGCCCAAAATTATTATAATTACCATAATTAAGTTTCAATACTTTATGGAGCTACCATAAAGATCTGATTGAACATATATTATTCAAACTCCAATAATTAGATCCTACATAGTCGACCTTAGATCATCCAATCTAATTATTAGTCTTTGTTTTTTCCACTAAATGAAAAAAATTGAACTCTTGGAATATACAAGATTACAGAAGCCAATAAATTTGTAATATTTTTCCTTAGACCTGTCGTATATGTATTTATCCACGTCCGAGATTCGATAATTATGTACAAATATAAATGATCGTTTTACCCTTCTAATTATGCTTACTAATTTAAGTTTCATTTTTTTCAACGGTTCTATGAACTAGTCACAGATGTCAAAGTTTAACTGTCGTTGAACACTAAGCTTGAATTTTAATCATTCAACATAAAATACTTAATTAGTCACTTTACCCATTTTTTAGGGTGATGGTTCTCGACATGAATTCATGTTTTCTACTCTACTCATTCTTAAGTTCCTAACTCATCAAGATATCTGACCAATTAAATTGGTCTCACCTATTGATGAATCAAAGAAGTATTAAAATCACGAAAAGATATATATAATCCTGTTAAGGGTTAGATGAAATATACAACGATCAAGTGGAATTTAATTCTCCACATGGTCATGCTATAGAATTAAATTTGACATGGGGTCCGTTTCAATACACTTCAAATGTTCTAGTGTTATCTTTAACTATTTTTGTGATAATGACAAATCACAAACATGAATAGTGAATCGATCACCACAACCTTTCAATATAAGGTGCCAATCTTATACGTTGGTTGTGAACAAATTATTTATGATCAAAATATAAATTGTGTCACACTATACTTCTCAACATAAATACCCAACTTACATTACCACAATCGATCACATGTACTTTTATTCGTATGCTCAATAATAAATAAATGCAATAAATCAATAAAATCACAATTTATTTATTATAAACAATTATTTTATCATAACAAAATATACTATATGGATACACAATCCAATAAATTCCACGTGTACCCATGCAGAGAGTAGACTATACCGTCTCATCAAAGGAGCAAAGTGATAAAGATTTATAATTTTTGCTCGACAAAAGGATGGATACTAATTTAGAGGTACAAAGTGGTATTAATTGGTAGCTGGGGTGCTGATTTCGACAACAATTAATTAAAGAAGAAACTTTCAAACCTACTCACTCAACCTCTAAGGGTGATAAATGGGCCTAGCCGATTCCCATTCTTGATTCGTCTTAATTTAATTCATGATGAACTTAAGCTCATTTTGATACAAGTCCTGGATTGAGACGAGCTCAATTTTTTTTGGCAAATCGCCTTGTTTGAACTCATGGACTCTTATGAATTGGCTAGTGGGGCTGACTCGTTTTTTTATTCTCATTTTTATATTTATTTTATTAATTTCTTAAAATAATTGCTCCTTTTTTAATTTATTTTGTTAATTATTCTAAAATTAATAAATTAACTTGTGGATGGCTCAGCTCATTTGAACTCATGGACAACTCGACTTATTCTGACTCATGACAACTTGGCTCATCAAGCTCACAAGCGAAGGGCCAATTTGATCATAAATGCCTATTTGAATCTCTTTAAAATGAGATTTTACATTTTGCGACAATAAATTTTACGAGGTGTTTGATAACCCATTTTTATGTAAAAATGCATTTTAGAATAGTAAATTGATGTGAAATATGTGGTTGAGAAATAAGAAAAAGTTTTTAATTTACGTCTAATATTATTTTAATAAAAAATATGTGGTTAAAAAGAAAAGAGAGAAAAATACATTTTGAAAAAAATGGCTACCAAACGGGGCTTTAATCTTAAAAACTCAGAAGGCACAGGAATATCGTCAAGTGAGAGAAAAGTGTCAAAAGGCCATTGAAAGCCCTTCTGTACATAATATCCTCATTTTTCTGTCTTTAATGACAGAAATACCCTCCACAAATTCTTCATTGCACAATATTACTGTTGTTGTGGTAGCGAGGACAAAATGGGAATGTGTTTTACTGTCACGATTCATGCAAAAGTCAAGTCAAGTCAAGATAGATTTTGGAGTTTTGCTTTGTACACATCCGTTGTCCTCTTTTCTTGTGCGGGTTGTCATCCAAAGTGTCATATAAACAGCAAACCCTAGATTTTGGCTCACACTTGCTCATAACATCAATTAATGTGGCTCGAGTGAAAATAAAAATGTGCCAATTTACATTTTAACGGATCTCAAACGTATGCAAAATTTGGACTCCATCAATGTTGGGATATAAATGGGTCGAGTTGAGTCGCTATATTGACCGGGCTGAGCCAAATAGAGCCGAGCCGAGCCGAGCCCCTACACCAAGTCACCTACCAAAGGTCAAACACCCACATTATCATCTACATCTATATATATAATAAGCCCAAGAGCAGCCATGATCAAGAAACTGATTGCGTGTAGACCCCAGTTGCCAGTTGAAATCGAACACGAAGACATCGTATTTCCTTCTCGATTAAGGTAAATCTTCCCACATAAAAATCCCCGAACTTTGTTAAGATTTTACATTTCCCATCTCGCTTCATCGCTTGAAATATAAATTACTGCTGTAGAGAAGAAAAGGCAAAAATGGAGACTCCTTTGCTGTCATCAGGTAGACTTTCCAATTCATAAAGTTGCAAACATTTTTGGATTATTTTGTTCTTCGCAATCTTATACTTTATAGGGGATATAAATATACTTTGGGACAGAGAAAAGTGACATAGGAAGTGAAAGACGGAGTACATACGAACACGTGGGCCGTGCAGGGTCGGCAATTCCAACGGCTTTCACGGCTGGAACCGAAGTGAGCGTCGAAGAAATTAGATCCGCCTCTACTTTTTCTGACCCGTACCCGCCTTCTTTGCACGCCCCTTTGGTCGGGTCCTCAGAACCACACCACCTCTATCCTAACGGTAATTTCAAATATGGTATAATTTTATAGTTTTCTGTAACCCTTCTGAATCTCACACCGTTTCGGATTCTCTTTACAAGCTGGTTTTAAGGATCCGAACGAATGTGTTGGGATTAGTACTGATCGATACAGTTTTATTACATTTCTGAGTTATCAAGAGGTGGATCATGTGTACGTCTCTCTGGGTCATGTAAACTGTCTATTCTAGTTATGGTCCATTCATTTGGCAGAAATTACATTTGTGAGAACAATGAATTTTAAGACCATCTGTGATTTGATGTTGTAATTCTATTCCCTATTTTTTATTATTATTTTCTTTTCTTTTTTGAATCTTTTTCTTCATTCCAGTTCCTTATCAGTTAACATGTGGAACTTTATAACCTCTGGTTGGCGGATTATGAATTATAATTCTCTTGATGCAGCACAAGTGACTGGTTATCCTCAGGGCGGATATCATGGACATTTAGGAACTACTGCTGAAGTAGGCAGGTAAGTTTTGAATATGCTCCCCGAAGGCATGATTATTTCCGATTATGTACTTGAATATGATAGAATGTACTTCAATATTATCTGTCTTTGTATTTTTCTCTGAGGGCATGGAATTTGGACTGACCTTCGGACTACACATAAATTTTCAAATGTTAATTACTTAATTTTCATTCTTTAATCTAATTCCAAAATCAAACGTCATGCCACCAATCATAAGATCAACATTTACACTGTGTTATATGGTTCGTTAGTTTTCCACTCTGAATCATGCTGTTAGTGTTAATAATCCATTTGTTTGTTGTGAAGGATCCGAGATGTTATGAAATTGTTAAAGATCCATTTTTATTCTTCTCTGTCTTCATATTGTAAGAATGAAATTCTATACTGTCCGTCATGATGGAAAGAAAAACTAATCGAAGGTAAATTTTGGATTTGGAATCATCAAGCACTCAATATCTTAAACATCCATGAGGTGGAGTTCATAGTTCATGCTCAAAAAGCACTGTAAATACTAGAGATCCAAACACTTCTAACTGCGAGCCACATGGCTCTGAAAGATTAAGAATATCAAAATCTTCGAAACAAAATGGAATAGAAGCTTGTGATACATTAACTTCATATTTGATGGGTGATTCCTGCTTGGAAGCCTCAATCACTGAGGCTTCCTGTTTACATTTTTTTTGTGTTTAATACATGTGTGCTTTATGTCTTGGGTTGGTGTTTCTCAAAGATATACAGCAGATGTGTCCCTCTAGGCATGCTTGAAAGTCATAAAGAAGTGGATTAGTTACTCGGTAACATCAGCTTTCTCGATCAAAATTAAAATAACTTGGAAGGCAACGATATGTGTAATAAAATTAAAATAGGAATAGAAAGAACTTCTCTCGGTCTTACATGTCCTGTTTATGTTTGATTATTGCAATTGTAAATGGATGACCTTGCGAAATACTTTTATATTGAACTTCCTGCTGGGTCTGTTGGATTTGTTTCATAGATTAAGATTTTGAAGTGGTTCATTACAATTCTTTATTACCTATCTCACTACATTTGATCGTGATGATTTGGTAATCCATGTAAGTATCGGTACAGGCAAGTATTGGATGAAGTAGAAATACGAGAACTACTAATAGATCATGTTGGTCATCGTTGTTGTTGGGGAAGTCGTCCTGCTCGGACTTGGAATATACATGCTGTTGAAGATTGCAATGTTTATACGGGAACTCTGGAGACTTTTATTGAAGAAAGGGAAACAATAACAGAAAAGGAAGTATACACTGGTGGAAACATTGATGGAAAGAATGAGGGGGCTGAACTTGGAATATGGGAATTGGATTTAAGGTCTGAGTTTCCCGTACTTTTTATACCTCATAAAGAGTCACGAACCAAAGTTCCTCATTCAGAAGCCATTGAGAAATGCTCAGGTACTGGCTGTAAAAATGTCAGTCTGGTTTTATAGTTACTTTTTATTTTATTTTAATAGCAATTTTGGTAATTTTATCTGCTCCTCATCCACTTATGGTTTATTGGTTATGGTCTACAATTTGCTTGTATGGATTTTCAAATATAACACTATAGTTTTCTCTTGTAATTCCGTAGGTTGTGCAGGACGTGGAAATTTTGTGTGTCCCACTTGCAATAAAGATCAAGAGCCTGGTTTCTTTAAGGAGAATCAGATGTTTCCATGTCCTACTTGTCATGGGAGAGGGTTGATTGCTCATAGAGATGGATCAGATACAATGTGAGCTTCTTCTTTCATAATCTAGTATTTAAACTTTGTTATTATTCAACACAAGAGCAAAGCAAAGAAGTAAAAAGACGGCAAGGGGAAAAAAATGATTTCTGGAAACTTGATTTGATTTATTCTCTGCACAGCTCTTTATATAGAGCTAGAGTTTATCGGAATGCCAAATAAATTTGCTGATTACAAGGCAGAAACAGAAAAACAGCATCAACTATCTCTTCAATCGCTGAAACTCTCTATTTTGAAATCATTAGTTGAATAGAAATTGATTTTCAATCCAAATTATCCATAGAACATCTGGCGTGACATGGATAATGAATAAATAGGGTTAATATCATTCCAATTGCCCGCATATCCCTTTTTGACCAACTCCTTAGCAATTATTCAGCCTATTATTCAGTCCATATGCAGCTGTTCAAGCACTTTTGCAACAAACTTCATCATTTTCCCTTGTGCAGATGTCTTATATGTAAAGGTAAGGGAACAATTCCTTGTGCAACCTGTGGATCGCGCGGAGTAATAAAATGTGAGACATGTCAAGGTGGTGGCTCTCTTCTAACTCGCCAAGTGGCTATCATTAGATGGTATGCGTATAAATTGAAGAAAATGTACTAAAATTAATAAATTTTTTTGGCTTGGCTAGACGTTCTAACTTAAAGGTGTCCTCAACTAAGATTTTGATGGATTTAAAAGATTATAAATCCTAATGAATTTCATGGATTTGAATAAATTTTCACAATTCCATAAGAATCTCATCAAATGTGGTGAAATTTCAAAACCTTTGGTCGTATGTCTTTTTAAACTTGAAATCCATCTAATTCTTTTAAAATCTCTCTATTAATGAAATCTTTATAAATCCACTAGTTATTTAGGATACCAAAATTTTAAAGGATTTCATTGAAATTCATTAAATAGCAACTAGGAACCCTTAAATTTTAATGGATTTCATTAAAATCCGTTAAAATCTCAATTGAGCACACCTAAATTTAGAAGGATTTTTAATATCCATTACAACCTCAGTTGAGGACACTCCTCTTGATATCTGTTTTTGTCAATTTTGTTATTGTATCCTGCATCTTCAGGAAGACTCTTTCAGCTAGAAAAGTAAGTGCAACGAGTGGAGCAGCTTCAGTTCCAGATGACGTATTCCACCGAGCAAAAGGAGTTCAGTTGTGCAATAATCAGGCCTACCAGTGTACTCCTGCATTTTTTGCCGATTCATACTTCCTCAACAAGTTTTCTTCCGAAGTAATCGCAGAGAGGGCACCTGTAACTCCAACTGCAAGGGTCATATGTGAGAGGCATACAATCTCTGTTGTCCCAGTGACTCGTGTAACCATGACTCATCGCAATCGCTCCTTCAGTTTCTATCTTATCGGAACTGGACGAGAGGTGTATTTAAAAGAGTCCTATCCTTCGAGATTTTGCTGGGGGCTTTGCCCTTGCTTGGAATGGTTGAAGTTATAGTGTATCCTTGTGAAATCAAGTCATGTTGCTGCTATTCACCTCCTCTTTCGAGAAGGAATGCAAGGGATGATATGGAATCAATTTTCATCTAAAATTGCAGCACAGTAAATTTATAATGTTTGTGTGAGATGTAACTATACAATTTATTTTATTTCAGTGCACTTGTGTTGCATGTAATTTCTGAAGGATTGTGTTACATTTGCTTGTAGGCTTCCTACCACTGTGTTATTCTCCTACGTATGCCAATAATGGTTTTTTTCCCTTGAGCTAAAGAAGCAAATATAAAGTAAGGATTGCGTTTTTTCCTGACAGCCTTGAAATTGTTAGAGCAGATAATTCAGAAATTTTCGAGGTTGAGAGGAATTTTTGGGGTCAAATTGTGCAAAAGAAACTGTTGCCTTCATTGTTAGGAAGGAAACCTTCCACCAAAACGGTCTTTACATTTTAAGTATTTTTCATATCATTTCTTATTGCTTGGTATTTTTCACTTAATGTATACTGTGCAATATTTGTCAAATTTCATTCATAATATGGTGTGTGTGTGTAATTTTCTCGACAAAGCAACGCACATTCCATATTCCAAGGACCAAATATGAAATTCATGAAAAATGGTGGTTATATTACTATCAAGATTTGTTTAGGTGCACTATTTTGTAGTTATATAAAAAAATTTCAATTTGTTCACTGTACTTATGTACTCGGACTGAGCTACATGATCCGCACGGATGACCGCACACACTCTCATACATGGAAGTCGGTATTTTTTTTAATCATGGGACCCACCTCGTCATGTGAGGGTGCGGTCATCCATTTTGTCAACCATAATGTTAGTTTGGCATTTTCCTATGTACTCAATGTATTTATTGTTGCATTTTGTCACTAATTTTCGTTGTGCTTCTTTGACAATGATTTCCATCCCAAAAATTATTTAAAATGACTTATTTGTCTCTTATACTTTTAAATCAACAAAATTAGTTAAAAAAAAAAAAAAAAAAAAAAAAAAAAAGAAGAAGTTCCACATAATATTTAGTGGAAATTACATAATTCCAAGTCTTTGAAGACCATAGTTCAAAAATCAGGAACCAAATTTCATTGTTCAAAAATCAGGTTTTGATATAATAATTAAATATTAAATATTCAAATTTAATTCCCCAACCCTAATATTTTCATCACTCTTCATTCTCTTACTAATCTCTTCTCTCTCTCTCTCTCTCTCTCTCTAACTCCATGGCCTCCAATCGCCATTCATCACCGGTCGCCACAGCAGTCAGCAAAACCTCATCTCCGGTGCGGTCGCCTCCTTCTCTTGGAATTGCGAATGTGAGTGCTGTGGTAATTCTTCTATCGCTCTGAGTGTCACCGCGATATTCAGCAGTGGCGATGTTGGATGCGGTGGGTTGGGGCTCTGTGGTGGCGATGCCTGCTGTTGATTCAGGGACTGTTGTTAGGGTGACCGGTGCGAATGACGGCAAATGGTGATTGGTGCCGGCGCGAGGAGTAGATTTGGGGTTTTTGGATGTTAATGTGTTATCTCTTTCTCTTTTTCGATCTGCAGTTAATGATTTGGCATAGTGGTGGCTGCTTGTTGTTGGCTTTTGGGTGATGGTGGTTGTGATGTTGGTTGGGGATGGTAAGGTAGCGGTGATGGTCGTGGAAGTGGCGACGATGGTTGTGGATGGATTGGTGCGGGATATGGGTGGTGTTGGTTTGACTGTTTGGTGGTGGCGGTGATTTTGTGACTGTGGAGGTGGTGGTGGCTATTATGGGGATTTCTGGGGGCGGTGGAGGTGGATCTGTAGTGGTGGTTGTGGTACGATTTTGGGGTAGTGGTGATTCTGATTGTTGTGTTTTTTTGGTTGGAGTGGTGGTGGTGGTCTTGTTTTGGTTGTGTCGAAGGAATTGGGTGGTTCTTGTTGGTAGTGGAACGGATGGTGGTGGTAGATTGTTAGTGTCGACGGCGAGATGGTGGCTGACGACAGGGATGGCATGAGTGTGGTGGAAAGTGGTAGCCACATAAAATATGACCTAATATTTGATCTGTGACCAACTATTTGATCACCTGTGACCAATTCAAACTTAAAATTTGATAATTGTGACCAAAATAATTTGATCGATAAACTGTGACATATATGACTTGTAATTTGAATGATCTGTGACCTCGAAATAATATGTGACTTACAAAATTTTTGATTTGTGACTACGAAATAATCATTTGATCAATTAATTTGTCGATATGTGACTAGTAAATAAATCTCTGACCTAAATTATGAATATATGACTATTAATCGTGTAACTGTGACTTTATTATCTATATTTAATAAATTTTTTTAATTAATTAAATATGTACCTGATTTTTGAATTTTAAAAATGTTTACTTGATTTTTGAATAGAGGTAAACTTAAAGCCTGAAATATGAACTCTTCCCTAATATTTAACAGTCATTTTAAAACACCAACGTAATAATTGGACAAAAACGAAATCAGAAACAAGATATGTTATGAATGGAAAGTAGATAGTAAGAGTACGATGAAAATATTGGGCACATAAATGCAAAAAAAAAAAAAAAAAAAAAAAAAACTATAAAAACATAGCATAAGTAAAATCCGAATATAAAATTAATACTTAGGAAAATTCAAACAACAATATATATTAAGAATACAAGTATTTATAATCTTATTATCTTTTTCAGTCATCCGACGTCGTTTATCGTCACGAGAACTAGGGTTTCACCATCGCCTCCTTTTTAACTCCAAGCACAAAACTCTCTGTAATCATCACAGTGCATAATCACTGAAAGTTCTTCAATCGTCATAACTGACAATTTAGCGTTCATATTATTAGTAGTATGAATATAAAAGTACGATTATTATTACTTTATGCCCTGAAGATTTCTTCGCTGGATCTTATTTTGCTCTTTGAATTCTGTTTATGTTTTAATTTTCCCATGGATCGATGATGTGAGAATAAACTGCGTTATCTATCTGAAATTTCCAAATTGGAGCTGAAGGATACATTAAGCTTGCTGAGATCCAATCGGTACTCAATTATTATTATTATTATTTTCATTTCCTACAAATTATTAATTTTTATTTGGTTATATGAGACGAGAGTGAGCATCAATGATGAGCTTTATCTGAATTGTTATCCTTGCACTTTGATTGTTAGTGAAGAAAACCCATGGGGATTCACAACTCTGAGATGCTCACGAGATATTTCTATATAATTCTCTTGCTTTATTTTAGTTTCCTTCATTTTTTGCTTCTTTTCGTTTCGATTTGAACCATTATATTTTCTACTTTTCTTCATTTATTTGGATCGGTGATGATACTAAAAAAACGCGCTGTCTATCTGCAACTTCCTCGAAGGAATTGATGAGCCGATGCGGTCTGAGGTCCAAGATGTTGATAGTTTCTGATGAATTTGAATGCATCCCCGTATAATTCGCTTTACTGGGTACCGATGCTTAACCGTACAAGGATAAACTCATTTGAATTTAAACCTTTTTTGATAGGATAACTCATTTGAATATAAACCTCTCTGATATATCTAGAAAGATAGCTCTTTTGAATTTAATCTGATTAGAGTTGTATGGATTTACAAAGTGGGATATATGAAAAGTGCATACATCTCTTCAGATGCTGCATTTGAATTACGGTTGCTTGAGTTGTTTCTTCCTTTTGGGGGATATAATGTCATTCGAAGAAAATGGATTGTTTGGTATGATAGGATCTAGACATGCGACTGATGTCAAAATATGACCCTACGATCAGAAGAAATTAGGAAAACAGAGGTGAAGTAATGAACGTCCTAGTAATTCTCTTTAGGACATATTTTGCCTTCTAGCTAACATGGTTTATTCTCGATACAATGCTTCTTTGAAATTCGATATTGCATTACATTACCCTTGACGGTCGAATTAAAGCATTGACAATAATCTTTGTGAACGGAATAGAACAGGAACCTTAAATTGCTCGGAAATAATTTTATTATTAATTAAAACAGAACTTTATTTCTAAAAGTAATTCTAATCGAGTTCTAGAGAAAGAGATCTTGAAGTTATTTCGGTGTTTTGAATTCTAAAATAAGGGATCCCTTTCGATAGAATTTTAAATGTCTTGGGAGTGGTCGCATTGAATCAGTTTGAGTTCTACAGTCATACCACTTCAGAGTGTTTGATCCAGATTACATCCCTTCTCATTACATAGAAACAAATGCATCCAGTCATCACATTTTGTCATGCCAATGCCATGCATGTTCAACCATTACTGTTATGCGAGTGTCAAAACCCTTTTCTTATGTTTTATGAGGGCATTTGCTCCCTTATTCCCTGATGACTTTGCCGTATCCCTCAAGATTCAAAATTTTGAATCCAAAACCTAGATATAAAAAGCTTATGTTGAATTCTGATACCAATCGACGTAAATTCAAAGTATAGCTACACTATTTCAAAAAAGCATATCGCTACATAAACAATCTACAAAACTTGTATCTTCTAATGTGATATTTAATCTAACTATTTATACACTTGAAATATTCTAATAGGCCTCAAACAATGCTTTTTTGTTGAAGACATTTACAATCATCAGTTATCATCATGGGCGAATCCAAAAACATGATTCTATAGGCAAGACAGAATTATATAAAAATTATGGACTAAAATTATGCGAACTACTTTGTAAATATCAATAATTAAGGGCCCCGTGGGTGCAATTGGGTCCTCCCCCTGATTGTATTAGCTCATTACTTTAAATAATTCAAATTTAGCCCTTATTTGAGCCCCATGTTAGGGGGAAAATGAGTTTTTGAGTTAAAATTAAGAAAAAAATTTAAATTTGCGTGTAATATTATTTTACTGAAAAACATGTGGTTGAAATAATGTTAAAATACAATTGAAAAATGCATTTTTTTCAAAAGAATGGGACTCAAACAAGGGCAATGTTTGAATCCGATATAACAATAGATTGTGGAGGTGGCAAGAGGGAGCAATTTGCCCTAACATGCTTGCACCCATGCACGAAGACATGAACACGAAAACGAGGATCAAGCAACAAGAGAAAAACCAACAGACATTGTCCCTGGGAAGATAAATTTCTTAATTGCCCACAACTAACCACAAAGAATCAATTAGTCATCGATTTTATATACTTGTGTGGAATATGTTGTTTTGCAAGGCAAAAAGCAATTATTTTAGAAATATCTCCGAAGGTACTTCATTCTGCTAGACAAAAGCACATGAACATCCCTTCGTAGTTCGTACCTCTGCTTACATGCAGATTTTTGTCATGTCATGAGCTTAATTAACTACCGGAGGACAACAATATTTTCTAGGGAGTAGCAGATTTACCATCTAAGAAATCTGCGTTCCACCACCAAATATATGTCAACTCGTTTCAACAAGAATGTCATTGAAATCAATATCTGCTAAAGTTTCTTTCCCAAACAGTGTAAATCCAACAGTTGCCTGCAAGTAAAAAATTGAAAATAGAGTGAGAAATTAATCTATGGACAGCTAATGAAAGTGCCAACTTCATGAAATAAAAAAAAAAATTCTGTTGAGGGTGTGTAACGTGTGTTGGTGGGACGAAAATTAATATCTTCAATTTTCATTTTTTGGTTTGTTTTAATGCGTGTGGGGTGGGAGGGAGGGGGTAGAGCAAGGACGGCTCCATTTCCTACAGTCACACTTCATAACATTAAATACATGGAGCAAGAAGATATACCAGGCCCCTATTGTGATCAAGCTTCTTAAGGATGCCTGAAAATCCCGCAAAGGCGCCCGATGTAACTTGGATGGTTAAACCTGGTACTACACTTGCATTTTCCTTTCCAGTTACAGCCGCTTTGGCTGCTTTTTTAGATCTGCCTCTCCTCTTAGTTGATGTATTGGAATGTGTAGCTTCTTTGGAGATGACCAAAGGGGATTCTACACCCAACTTCAAGGAATCCAGAGCTCCTTCAGCTTGCTGCTCTTCTTCAAACGCTTGATTGGCCTTTTCCTGTTCTTCCTTTGCTTGTTTGAATATTTCTTCCATGTCCTCCTCGTCTACAGGTCTAGGTTTGTTAATCTGACGCTTTCTGTAAATGATAAAAGAAGAGTTTTGCCAGGAGAATTAAATACCGTCCTTGAGATTTTTCTTGAGTTAAGATGAGACGTATTTGATACTTGTACATTATATAAGACCGATGCTAAATTTATCAGGAATAAGGAAACAAGTAGATCAAACAAACAAAGGTGAAAGGAACAACTGAGACTCTTACGTATTTCCAACCTTGGATCCAACAAATCCTCCAATCCCATCAGTTTCTCGTATGAAGTCGTGTAACTCCTTGTTCATTACACACTTCAAAAATACACATCCAGGGAAGAATGGTTTTGGTTTAACAGAGATTGATCCATTCTTTAATTTTCTTTTGATTTGCACAGATGGAATATATACCTGCAGATCACAATAACAAGATGCTCAGAAGCATAGAATGATGGAGATTTAGCTCCACGCAATTTTTGCCATGAAATGTGGATGGCTTAGAGCTCAGAATAAGTTCAAGAACCTCCGGTGAATAAGGTTTGCAAGCAGGAGCGAGTGGAATGTACTTCTCTTGGTGCTTATATACTTTGGGGGCTATACATTTATACCATTTGAATCTTGGTGCTCGTCTACACAAATCATTATAACTTGATAACTTCGTCCAACCAGTTATTCTAATTAACACAACTCTGCCATGGAAATAATGCTTTATATCTCACATTACAAAAGTAATTCCAATTATTGTAATTTACATACATTGTGGAAATAGGTAGCTCGTTTTCAAATTTTTCGCATGGTGTCTCTCTTATATATCCCATTGTACATTTTCCTTTTCGAGTAGCATTGAACTCGAAGTCGTAACAAAAGCTGAATATTTCTCAAAACATTGAACTAAGAAGCTAGTAAACTAAATGTAAAATGCTGGGATGCCAAACAATTACTGAACTTTTAACATCAAAGTATATTGAAGCAGCTTTCTTGTCTTAAACAAGTTGTTTGACTGCACATATCTTCTTAATCAGCCAGAGAACTAATATTTTCCCAATTAGCTTGTCATAACACTTCATATAACGTTTTATCAGGAGAAATTACTACAGAAACCACCGCCAATTAGGTCAATTCTACAAAAATCCCAGCCAACAAAAATTTGCAGGATAAGTGTAGAAAAATATAAGAAGATTGCACCAAACCCATATCCCAAACCAAAATTACCTTGAAATCAACATTGGGGAAATTTCGGGCCAGTGACCGAGCCATTCGTTCAGCAGTTTCTTGGCCCGAAACTCTGGAAACTCTAACAACCCACCATTGAGGGCCGAGCAAAGCGAGGTTATCAAGATTGAGTTCTTCAGTCCACGAAGTGTAACGTTTTTTGGGCTTCTTGAGAAGCCTTTCTTCCACCTCTTCTCTCCAGTTGTAAGTCGGCTTGCTCTCTCTCCTCTCGTTTCTCAGCTGCCTTCTCTCTCTTGACGTGAGGGATCTTTCATTGACCGATTCAATAGTTGCAGCGATTGTGGAAACTAAGGGTTTATGGGTGTGGGCTTTTAGCGTGGTGGACGAGGGCATAGAGAGAAAGCGAGAGCAAGAACTCCACGAGAGAAGACCGACCTTCATCTTCTCTAATTATGCACATTTGTTACTGGAACAAGACGTTACTTGATAGTGGATAGCGTATGATTTTTCTTCTTAGAGCACTTTTGGAGCATATTTGCCCCGAACCGAATTCGACGATTCTTGTCAAATTAAATATTCGAACGGATATCTGAATTGAGAATCGACGGGTACGATTTGATTCTCAGTTCTAGACCAAGAATCGAAGAGCCGAATAAGATCCGAATCTTTCTAATTTTTTTTTTATATTGAGTAAATCAAATCATTTTAATTTTAATTTTTTTAAACAAATTAACAATTTCTAAGTCCAAATTTTCAGCCCAATAATTAGTTTCATTTCTAATTTTTTTATTTTTGGCCCAATTACCTATTTTATTGTTTCATTTCTTAACCCAACAAGATTTAATCCACTAAATAACTCTAAACACCTACACTAAAGTGCATAACGTTGTTTCGACTCTCGTACTCACCCTCCTAGTCTCGCTAATATTCCAAAACCTATACAATCGTCGGTCGATACTGTAACCTTCGATTGAACGGTCGATACTGTAACCTCTGATTGAAGCTGTGACCTCCGTCGACCGAAACTTTAACTGTAGTGATCATTTGAACAATGTAGTTTACTAGTCTCTAATATTCCAAAACCATTGAATGTATCATTAGTTGTATTTATAAAATGTTGTTATAAATATTAAAAATTTAATTATAGTACAGAATCGAATGGAACCGAACGGAACCGAACCCGAACGGTTCCATAATTATATTTGGACCCGACGGTTTCATTTACTAGATACCCGAAAATTTTGGTTCGGTTCGATTTTTTTTAGAACCGAACCGATCCGTGCCCATCCCTAATATTTGCTTAAGCTAAGGGAGAGATGTTTAAAAGCTACTTATCCGCAATCTGCATTGGCTTCTTTGGGTATGGCCCAAATTCCAAGAAAGATTCAGCCCAATTTGAATGTGGGAAAAGTTCATAACTTTGGTATATTGTTTGTACCAATTTACAAATCAGGTCCAAAGTTTAAAAATGCAAAATTCAGGTTTTGGTATAATTAATTAAAAATATTTATTAATTAAATGTAACAAAGTCACAATTATACGATTAATGATCACAGATTCATAATTATTGGTCACAAATTTATTTACCGATCACATATCATCGATTAATTGGTCACGTATCATTTCATGGTTACAAATCAATTATTTCGAGGTCACAAATCATTCAAATTACAGGTCACATTTTATTTATGGGTCACATATCACAGTTTATTGGTGACAAATTATTTTGTAGTCACGGACACCTAATTCTTTGTCACAAATCAACCAAATAATTGGTGACAAACGTCCAAATAGTTGGTCACAGACAGGGAATTGTTGGTCATGGACACCCCCACACTTGGCCAACCAAAATCAATACAATCACCATTGCCTTGCGACCACCGGTCAGCATCGCTGCCGCGCCGCTGCCACCACCACCACCATTTCTGCAAACACCACTGCACTTACCACCACACGAACCAGTCGCCAGACTTGCCTACCACCGCCTTTATCATGCCTAGATCCATCGCACCACTATCACCATCGTCGACCGCCACCGCCACCACCACCTGCACCTCCAACGAAAACCACCACCAAATCGAAAAACCAAAAACCCCTCCACCCCCAAAATTGCAGATCGAACCACTACACCACCACAAGCGCCGCCGCCACCTCCACAGTCAAACCTCCACTAACACCACAAAAAAAATCACTTAGATCACCACTACAACACTTAGATTTGAAGGCACAAAGGCGATCTTCAAGCAAAGTCACTGTAAAAATTGCAGATCAAACCACTACACCACCATTAGCGCCGTCGCCACGTCCACGGTCAAACCACCACTAACACCCAAAAAACATCACTCAAATCGCCACTACAACGCTCATATTTGAAGGCAAAAAGGTGATCTTTGAGCAAAGTCACTGTAATGTGTTGTTATGCTAGTCGAATGCACAAAGGCGCCGGAAGAACAAAGGAGATCGTCGAATGCCGACGTCATGCTGCAGTCACTGTCGGTTGGCGTCTCCGGTGCGGCATCCCCTCTGGTTNAAATGCAAAATTCAGGTTTTGGTATAATTAATTAAAAATATTTATTAATTAAATGTAACAAAGTCACAATTATACGATTAATGATCACAGATTCATAATTATTGGTCACAAATTTATTTACCGATCACATATCATCGATTAATTGGTCACGTATCATTTCATGGTTACAAATCAATTATTTCGAGGTCACAAATCATTCAAATTACAGGTCACATTTTATTTATGGGTCACATATCACAGTTTATTGGTGACAAATTATTTTGTAGTCACGGACACCTAATTCTTTGTCACAAATCAACCAAATAATTGGTGACAAACGTCCAAATAGTTGGTCACAGACAGGGAATTGTTGGTCATGGACACCCCCACCCTTGGCCAACCAAAATCAATACAATCACCATTGCCTTGCGACCACCGATCAGCATCACTGCCGCGCCGCCGCCACCACCACCACCATTTCTGCAAACACCACTGCACTTACCACCACACGAACCAGTCGCCAGACTTGCCTACCACCGCCTTTATCATGCCTAGATCCATCGCACCACTATCACCATCGTCGACCGCCACCGCCGCCACCACCTGCACCTCCAACGAAAACCACCACCAAATCGAAAAACCAAAAACCCCTCCACCCCCAAAATTGCAGATCGAACCACTACACCACCACAAGCGCCGCCGCCACCTCCACAGTCAAACCTCCACTAACACCACAAAAAAATCACTTAGATCACCACTACAACACTTAGATTTGAAGGCACAAAGGCGATCTTCAAGCAAAGTCACTGTAAAAATTGCAAATCAAACCACTACACCACCATTAGCGCCGTCGCCACGTCCACGGTCAAACCACCACTAACACCCAAAAAACATCACTCAGATTGCCACTACAACGCTCATATTTGAAGGCAAAAAGGTGATCTTTGAGCAAAGTCACTGTAATGTGTTGTTATGCTAGTCGAATGCACAAAGGCGCCGAAAGAACAAAGGAGATCGTCGAATGCCGACGTCATGCTGCAGTCACTGTCGGTTGGCGTCTCCGGTGCGGCATCCCCTCTGGTTGTGATATGGTAGTAAAGAAGAAGAGAGAGGGGAGGGGGGTGTAAAGGGAGGGAAGGGGAAGTACCGAAATAATTATAGGTCATGGAGAGGTGGGGCTGGGGGTGATTGGGGTTTTGATAAAATGAATTAGGGTTTTAATATGTGGGGGGTTTAATTTTTGATGGAAACCTGATTAATGCATTATTCAACTTTAAACTTGATTTTAGAATTGTGTTTTTTAAACACCTGATTTTTTGTAATTTCCTCTTTGAATAAACTGACTGAAGCCCGATAATTTTATTTTATTTTCTTTTTAGAGAGAAAGTTTAAATTTAGGGTTTGTATGAAAAAAATAAATTATTGATAATTGAATTACCAAAAATTTATGGGCATTTGAAAAAATGTCCAGTTTTAAATATGTCAATTAAAAAAGTCCACTTTTGATCATCTTTGCAAAAATGGCCAAATTTGATATCAAATTCTCTATTTTACCTTTAATGAAAGAATAAATAATTTTATATTGCACACATCAAGTCACAATTAATGTTAGACACAAAAATGTTGAGAATAATATTTAAAGTGTAGAGAAATGTCATATTCGAAATAAAATGTCATTCTAGACATTTAATATGTTGAGAACAACGTTTCAAATGTCGAGAACATTTAATATTATCATTTGACATGTGTACTTTTAAAATATAAACGGATTTAGATATCGAGAACGACATTTGAAATGTCGAGAACATCATTTTAATGTAACTTCTCATGGAAGCTACCCAGGAGTACTCTAGTCCAAATAATTGCAAAAATGGACATTGAAAAATTTGGATATTTTTGCAAATGACTATGTCAAAATGGACTTTTTTTGTAATTTCCTCAAAATTTATTTGCATGAAAAATATAACTTAAATGTGTTTGATTAGTCTGATTTTCAACTTAAAAAATGTTATATTTGTCCATCTTTTATTGATAGGTAGATGAGAGAAAGAGAAGTAGATGAGAGAGAAAGATAATTGCTTGGAAAAGAAAAAAAATTACCCCTCCCTTTAAAAAATATTTTTCTTGATTTTGATGAAAATATGATTACACAACTTTTGAATTAATATTTTTTCATGAAAATGACATTTGAAATGCACAAGCTGTATTCAACCAAAATCCACTTCTTGTCGGGTTTGGATTTCACGTCAAAAATCATCAAGAGTTTTCTTTTACTCAAATAGCCCTCAGCTATGTGTGCCTCGTTCGAAGTGTTTGATTGCTTTCCATAACTTGTAGTTGAATTACGTTTACTCTGCAACTTTTCGCAATCTCTCTTGATTTGTCCTTTCTTGCAATAAAAACAAATTAGATTTCTATAACTCGCCCTCGACTTACCTCTTTGCCAATCACCATAAACCACAATAGCTTCTTTACCTCTGGACTCAGCTCTAACCAGATGCTTCATCTTCTCCTTAGAGAACAAGGCATCATACAGGTTTTCAATGATGAGTGTATCACGAATGTACAAATTTTGTTCGTAAACAACGAAAATGAAGTAGGCAATGAATACAACAGGATCAAGGTCAAGTCCTCTTCATCATATTTTACTCTAATATTTTCGAATTAGCAATGATCTACTTGAACACGATCAGATGATCTTCCAAATATCCCCCTTCTACTATGAGATTAGAATGTAGTATCTGCTTCAGATGCAACTTGCTTGTCAAACTTTTGGTCATCCACAGTTTCTTCAACTTCAACCACAATGCAACAGTCATCTTCTCTTTCAAAATGTCCTGAAGAATGCTAGATAAATAAAGATGAATATGTGAAAGTGCATTCCGATCCTTTCGTTGCTTCTCCCCTGTTGTCCAAGTTGTGGGCATCTTGTCAAATCCAAACAACGCATCATTCAAATTCATCTGCACTAATAAAGCTCG